TTCTTGGTCCATGGGCTGGATTAATGATGTAGTGTTGGGAGGAAGGAAGACCACTTTCACGTTGGGGTGATGATCCAACAGTAGGGGCGAGTGTCCTGGTGCGTTGTCAATCAGCAACAAAATCTTGAATGGAACATTCTGTTGCTCACATAATTTCTTCACGTCGGGAACGAAACAGTCATCAAACCAGGAGAGGGACAGAGTAGAGAACACCCACGCCTTACGTGCGGTCATCCAGTGGACAATTAGCTTGGTCATGTCCATGTTCTTGTAGGCGTGTGGCTTGCGGGCTGTGTGGATCACCGATAACTTGAGCTTACAGGTACCGGAGGCATTGGTGGTAAACAGGACGGTGATGCGCTCCTTCTGCAACTTCCGGCCCCAACACTTGCTGGCAGTCTTGACAACGAAGGTCTTGGAAGGTAGCTTTTTCCAAAAAAGATCAGATATTAAGCAACACGGTCAGCACTAGCTTCTTCACCACCAATGTTAATGTTGGTGATCTTGTTCCTCTTCTTAAACCTCTGCAACCACCCAGAGGAAGCATTGAAGGGTTTGGGCTCTGCAATTCCCATCTTACGTGACACTGCAGCATACAGTTCACGTGCGTACTCCTTAACTGAGCGCGTGTCCACTGCCATGCTCCGTCACGCCTGACGAATCAAGTAGCTCACAAGTAATTTCTCCGTCTTGAGAAGCACCTTGTTGTGACAATACTTGATCATAGAAGCACCTGTAGACTTTGTGATGTTCATGTGCTCCTTTATCTTGGCTGCATCCTTCTTGATCGTCCGGATCGTAGATTCGTTAACACGATGCTGGCGCGCGAGATCAACCTGTCTTGTTCCTTTCTCTAACTCTTGGATGATCTTGTATTTAATTTCGTAGCTTAGGGCACGTCGTATCTTCTTTGCTTAGGGCGGCTGGGTCCAGGTAATGCAAGGTTTCTTTGTTGTGGTGGTGGTGGTCCGGTGGAAGCCATTCTTATGGAACAATAGATACCGATATACACGGTGTAGCCGGGAGGGGTGTAACTGAGGTGGGTAGGTCAACGGGCTTGAACGCTCCCGCGGCGTGGCACGTCATATTACATTAAACCAATCACAGCTAGCGGGGGAGAGAGGTAAGGATGCTTGGCCCAATCACAGTCCGATACGTCATATGACGTCACCGATAACGCAACAAAGACATACACTGCGCAACCTACTCGCGCCGCTTACCCAACATGGCGGGAGAGACGGCGGGAGGTTTGAATCCAAAAATGGAGCGGTGCGAGACGACCGCCAGCCGCTCTCCGCGTAAAAGAGTACACGCACCGCATATAGTGAGCATCCCGGGGTAATACTGTGTGTGTGTGTGTGTGTGTGTGTTTTTTTTTTTTTCAACACAGCCCAATTTTGGAGACTGTTCAATAAATCCTGGAGGGCTGTATAGTCGGGAGCAGAATTATTAACACTGATCCCAATGGTGGAATCGTCGACATATTTCCAACGAGCAGGGGTTTCTTTTAGGGCATCATTGATAAGCATAAGGAAGCATAGTGGTCCCATCTTGGTGCCTTGGGGGTGCTCCACAGGTGAGTGACTGAAAGGTGGAAACAGACCATCGAAAGCGTACAGCTTGGCTTCGGTTACTGAGGAAGTCTGTAAGCCATGGTGTAAGACTTCTTCGAAATCCGAGGTCTATAGCTTTGTTAATGATTAAATTGTGGTCGACTAGGTCAAATGCCTTGGTGAAACCAATGAAGGTGACCTTCATTTTTCTAGTTGGCTGACAGGAGAGTTTTCATACCGAGTATGAGGTCCAATATCAGCATAAGCACAGTCAAACACGAAACTTTCACAGATTAAGCTAGGTATTGGGGTGATGGCAATGGGTCATAGTTCATTTAAGGATTGTGGGCTGGTTGACTTGGGCACTGGTGACACATATGAAGTCTTCTAGTCAGCTGGGCATCTGGCTTGACTGAGGGAAGCATTTATGATGGAGCAGAGGGGTTTAGCTAGCTCCGGAGAGAACTCCTTGTAGAGTTTCATTGGTAAGTCAATGGGGGTGGTGGATTGTTTTAACTTTAGTTTGTCCAGACCTTTTGCTACTTCATATTCTTCTACTAAGTCAGTGGGAAAGGGGGCTGGCAGGTAATCAGGGAGCTTGGTTGCGTCAAGCTGGGGGAGCGTCTGGTTTATAGTAGCGAAATGGTTATTTGATTGCCCAGCTGCGTCATCATTAGTGAGAGGGTTAAGTTTTTGTGTGTGCGCGTGCGTGCACGCGCCAGAGCATCTCAGAATCCGAAAAAATGAATTCTGATATATTGAAGTGTGATTAATCGATGTTTTACTGTTTATGGTACTGGGAATTTCATTATTTAGATGGTTTACTGTGGTCAATAATTATGTTTTGTTTCTTCATGAAGATTTAGCTAATTTAGAAATACAGGTACAGGTACAATGAAAGACATTTGTCGTTTGATAAATTGGCTTATATGATATATATATTCTACATAAATTAATTTAATCTTCGGACAAAACCGCGACACGACTTTTATCTTTGATTTTACACCACCGATTTTCCGGCACCCTTGGTTCCAAAGCCTTGCCGGATAATACATTTTGCCAGACCAACCAAGGTCACTTAATAATAATTCAACAATACACCTTTGATCCACTAATTATACACCTCCCATGACTCAAAGGACCATGTACTACTAGAAACTTAAATTAAACAAATATTAAATGTGAAAAGCCATAATTTTGAGTAACATATTACTGTACACATTTTGTACTCAAAAGTACAGTAGAATGTCGATTTAAAGCGATTCAATTTTAAGATTATTGATTTAAAGCGACACCCACTATTAAGGACAATGTTTTAATTTAAAGCGAATTTTTCCTATTTTGCGTGAGTCAATCTGGTGCATCATATTTTAAAATTCGTGTCTCATGTTTCTCTGGGCACACTACACTGTCTTAAGGACAAAGCTGTACTGTACATGTACTCAAAATAATGAACTAAATAATTACTAAAATTTTTGTCTAGTGCAAACTATAGTATGATTATATTCAAATTAATCATTGTTTTAAGAGAATTCCAGCAACGTAAATTATATTCTCTCCGGTCACTTCTGTGACATTTTATGAACAAAAACTCACTCTAAAGGACATAAATAAAAAAAAAATACTTCACTAGACCTTTGGTGTAACTGTCAAACATGTCACCTCCCCTTCCTCCCTCCCTCTCCCCATCTTCCCAGCCAGGGTTTGGTGGTTTTAGGCTTACAGTTTTTATGTTATATAATATCACAGACTAAAGTTAGGAGAATATAATTTGCATTGCTGGAATCCTTGCAAGACAGCGAATAATATGAATATAAACTTCATATATTTTGCACAAGAGATAATTTTTTTAGCCCTTTGTAATAAAATTAATTAAAACATGTCAGTTCTTTGACATTTTATAAGAGAAAAACTTAGTCACTCTTAAGGACTGATAAATAAATAAGCATTAGACCTTGGCATCAACTGTCAAACATATCACCTCACCTCTCCCTCCCCCTCCCACCCCGCTCATCTTCCCCTCAGCTGATCTCTAGTAAACAGACCATTTCACGTCCCATAATTTTAGCTGTGTTGACTTATGAGTGTTTGTTTTAACATGATGCTACAAAAAAACAATGTTTTGTTTATTCTAGAAGATGGGCTGAGGTGTGGGTAGACTGTCAGTCTTTTTAGTATTTTGTGTTTCTCTCAAGTACCAGACTAAATTATTCCATTGAAACAACACTTTGATTTTGTGCAAATTTGGCTTAAAGCGACCTCTGTTGGAATGTATATCTTGTTATATTGACGTTCTACTGTACACTACTCTACTTAAAGGACTAATATTTTTATCTCCTGTGCAAACTATATGATATTTATACTCAAATCAATCACTATCTTGCAAGGATTCCAGCAATGCAAGTTATATTCTGTTAAGTCTAGTCAGTGACACTTTATAAGATAAAAACTTTAAGCCTAAAACCACCTTCACCCTGGCTGATAGGATAGAGGAAGGCTGAGGTGAGGTGTTGTTGTCACAGCCTGCCTGAAGGTTGGGAAGGTTACCTAGTGCCTACTTATTTATCTGTTATATAGAGATAGTTGAAGTTTTTTGTTTATAAAATGACACTGAGTTGACTTGGCAGAATATAACTTACATTGCTGTAATTCTTGTAATTTAGTGATTAACTTGCATTAGACATAAAAATGTTAGTAATTATTTAGTACATTTGATTACAGGTTTGCCCTTAGGTCAATTATTTCTTTTACTTTTTTCACAATATGCATTTAGGATGGTGTGTGCATGTAAATGAGTAAAAATAAATGAAGAAAATTACATATATCTACCTGAAAATACAAGTTGAAAAACTTGTACTCAAATGTACATTACTACACTAAAGGACTAAATTTTTTATCTCTTGTGCAAACTTTATATTGTTTATACTCAAATTATTCACTATCTTACAAGGATTCCAACAATCCAAGTTTTATTCCGCTAAGTTTAGTTTGTGACATTTTATAAGATAAAAACTCTAAACCTAAAACTACCTTCACCCTGGCTGGGAGGGTGGACATTCCTTCTCGTAATTTTGTCCGGACTAAAGGAGGTGCCGGGCCATCAGTTCCTGGAAAATCAGTGGTGTACCTGTACTCTAATTTAACTCACTTGGAGAAATGGGCATGAATGATAATTCTTCTGGTTGTGGATAAATGTAGATGCTGGTTGATGATCAGTGTCTTTGAGGCCCGTTCTACCATCTAGTGGGAAATGTGGGAAATATTTGCTCCTCATCAGGTGATCACTTGTCCTCACCCAATTAACTCTTTTTCATATAAAAATAATTCATTTTGGGGGCTTACACCATGAAATTTAAGAGTTTGACTGCACAGTACAGAAATATATAGGGTGCAGTGAAATAATGCAAAGGGTTTACTGTATATACTACTTATGTTTTGTGACCACAGGCTCTCCATATGCCTGTTGACACAGATATGCATCAAATAAGACAGAAGATTGTTAGTAAATATCCCTTCCCATAATTCATATAGATAGGTGATGTGTATGAAGGATGAAGTTTGAACATTGTGATTTTGATAGTTTGGTCACAATTTACTGTGACATTAAAGTTACATATCATGATTATTTCATGTGTAAGTCATGATTTTACGTGGGCAGAGTTGATAGATTTTATTGTATGTTAGTAAAAGATTTGTTTTCTTGAAACTAATTGTGATTGTCTTTCAGATGCATGAAGTTGATTTCCTCCGTCTTGGGCGAATATCACGTATTCATTCTGATTTGAAGTCATTTGCTGATGAGATTGTAACTCGCAGACTTAACAGCGTGTCATCATTGTCTGAATTTTATCAGAGTAAGGTAATAAATTAATCAAATTTTTATATTTATATGTAATGTATTCTGTAATTATTTTATACATATCCTTTATCCTAATTGTTATTATTCTGTACCACCACACACATAAGTTGACCTTAGTCTTTATCATAAGCATCATTGTCCACATGATAGTACTCTTAGTCATTACTATAGGCATCATTGTGCTCACAAACTCTTAGTCATTATCTTAGGCATCATTGTGCTCACATACTCTTAGTCATTTTCTTAGGTATCATTGTGCTCACATACTCTTAGTCATTATCTTAGGTATCATTGTGCTCACATACTCTTAGTCATTTTCTTAGGTATCATTGTGCTCACATACTCTTAGTCATTATCTTAGGTATCATTGTGCTCACATACTCTTAGTCATTTTCTTAGGTATCATTGTGCTCACATACTCTTAGTCATTATCTTAGGTATCATTGTGCTCACATACTCTTAGTCATTATCTTAGGCATCATTTTGCTCACATACTCTTAGTCATTATCTTAGGCATTATTGTGCTCCCATGCTCTTATTAGTTACCATAGGCATCATTATCCACATGATAGTACTCTTACTCATTGCCTTGGCATCATTGTGCACACATACTCTTATTTATTATTATTACATACATTTTTTCTACTCAAAATATGTTTGAGAAAGTAATGGATAAGAAATTATTAGGGGTGCTTTGTCATGTGTGAATACAGGAATTCCCCAAGTTATGAAAGGGTTCCGTTCCTGAAAATCTTTCCATAATGGTAAGCTATTTTTCCCATTGACTTGCATTTTAGAATTATATTTATTTATTTTTTTTTTTTTACGGTGAATAGCCCACCCGAGCACAGGTCATCGAACCACAATAGGGCCTAGGGGGTGAAAAAATAGAATAAAAGGAAATTAAAAATAGAAAATAAAAAGATTATATTTATCTACACAATGAAAATGCTGGAAAACCAGCTTTTTGAAGTGAGACAGATTGTATGAGTATGGAAACACAAGAAGTAGAGCATTTCACAGTTTGGCTGTGTGAAGAAAGAAGGGTGTACTATAACGGGTTATTCTAGTGTGACCGACATCCACAGAGAAACGGTGGGCACCGCGGGCAAGACGAGTGTTACGAGCCCACGGCCTTGCCGGCGGTACACAGGATGCCAAATCCACCAAACATTGCCACTTAAAGTACTTGTAAAAGAAAGACAGTGAAGTAACATTGCAGCGAAGAGAAAGGGAAGAAAGATTATCAACTAAAGGAGGAGAGTTAATAAGACGAAATGCCTTTGATTCCACCCTATCTAACAGTTGGACAGAAAATGAGCCACCCCAGATATGAGAACAGCACTCCAAGTTAGGACAAATGAATCCCTTATATACTTGAAGCAACTGCTCAGGAGTGAAGTAGCTACGGCATCTGTACAGTATTCCCAGCTTTCGGGAGGCAGCTTTAGCAATGTTGTGGATGTGTGGCTTCCATGACATATTAGAGGAAATGGTGAGGCCTAGCATATCTATTTTAGAATTTGGCATCATGATTTTTTCCTGAAATGTGATTGGTGGGAGATCGTCTAATTTGGAAAGTGTAATTAGTAAATACATGTACCGAGTTTTATTACTTTTGAATTCAACCAAGTTTCTACCTCTTCTTTCGGAGATGCTGCACAGATCCGCATCGATAGATGAAATGATATCAGCTCTAGAGACAGATCTAGTTTGAGAATTAGGGGGAAGGGAAAAATGTGAAGAATGAAGAGTAGAATCATCAGCATAAAATATTGATAGAATTAGTCATAGTGTGAAGTAAATCATTGATAAAAAGAAGGAAGAGAGTGATGAAAGAACAGAACCCTGTGGTACACCGCTATTGGTTGAGAAAGAGTGACAGATCGATTCCTCGACAACTGCCATGGATTCTGTTCTCAAGGAAGCTAGAAATTAGAGAACAAAGTGGGGGAGAGAAACCATAAGAGGGAAGTTTAGAAAGCAAAGACTTGTGCCATACCCTGTCAAATGCTTTAGAGATGTCGAGGGCCACGACGAAAGTTTCCCTATAATGCCTAAGAGAGGATGACCAAAAATAGGTGCAGTAGGAGAGCAAATCACCAGTAGATCTCGGCTGGCGAAAGCAATACTGGTGATCCGACAAAAGAGAATGGCATTCAAGGTGACAGGAGAAAATGAGAGTTCAAGATAGTTTTGAAAATCTTAGAGAGGGATGAAGTTAGGGCAATGGGGCGATAGTTAGAGGGATTTGAATGGTCACCCTTCTTTGGGATGGGCTGAACCGAGGCATGCTTCCAAGAAGAAGGAAAAGTTTGGGTTTTGAGGCAAAGGTGAAAGAGGCGATCAAGCATGGGCCAGAACTTCAGCACACTCCTTCAGAACAGTCAAGGTCAATCAAATGGGGAGTTATAGTTGGATTTATTCACAAGGTTACAAGTGATCCCCTGTCGATGCCAGTCAGCATACAACTCCCCTGGCTGGCCGGCAATTGGTGCCACCACAGCTTGGCTGACAATGCGGACCGTGGGTCCGATCAACCATGGGGGCAGTTCAACAATTGACAAAGAAAAAAAATGATGCTCCATACATTTCAGAAAGTAATTATACAATACAATATGAACAAAACAGTATACAGTGAACCCTCGCTTTACGCGGTTTCACTTTACGCGTTTCTACATTTACGCGGTACCCTGCCAGAACCGGAATTCCCACTTTACGCATATACGCGGGTGAAGTATAATTTTTTTATTTAGCTCATAAAATTCATACAAATTATCCGGCCAGAATATATTTTACATTGCTGGAATTCTTACAATTTGATGATCATTTTGAATGTAAGTATCATAGATTTTGCATTCGACATACAAATTTTAGATCTAATGCAAGTATTTTGTTTACTCAGAGCAAATATGTTATCTTTTGTGCAAAATATATGACATTTATATTCAAAATATTCCTGGTCTTACAAGGAATCCAGCAATGTCAATTATATTATCCTAACTTTAGTCTGAGGTATTATTTATTACTAAAAAGGTAAATATTCTGGTTTCTCCCACACATTTCTCTGGTAGGGAGAGTTGGTGGGGGGAGGGATGGACCGACCGACCATCTGGCTAGGTTGGAAGAGGGGGGGAGGCAAGGTGGGGTACTTTGATTGACAGATAGTGTCGTGAAGAATATTTTTTTTTTTTTATTAACTGAAGATATTTGTTTTAGCTCATAAAATTCATACAAATTACCTGGCCAGAATATAATTTACATTGTTGGAATTCTTACAATTTGATGATCATTTTGAATATAAACATCATAGATTTTGCATTAGACATACAAATTTTAGATCTACTTTAAGTATTTTGTTTACTCTGAGTAAATATATGATCTTTTGTGCAAATTATTTGACATTTATATTCAAAATATTCCTGGTCTTACAAGGAATCCAGCAATGTCAATTATATTATCCTAACTTTAGTTTGAGGTATTATTTATTACTGTACCTTAAAATCTAGTGGTTTTCCCCCCAAACATTTCTCAGAGAGGGAAGAGCCAGGAGTGTGAGAAGAGGGGGAGGGAGTCGAGTCTATTATTTGAATGGACATTAACTTGGCGACTGTATTTCTCTATTTCTCTTAAGTATTAATTGTGTGCATGTACCATCATAAAATTAAGATGTTATTTTTACTAGAACATAGGTATTGTGTCCGAAAAAGTGGAGTTTGGGGGTCAGCCGGTCTCTATTTCATTTAATCCCATATGTTATGTTGTTCACTTTACGCGTTTCTCGCTTTACACGGGCCTCCGTGGGTTCAATTGACCGCGTAAAGTGAGGGTTCACTGTAATTCATAATACTCTCACAGAACACTAGGTGGCATTTCGTCCGGTTCATGCGCCTTACTCACATCCAACTTGGATAACACACCAACAACCCTATGAGTGAAGATTATAGGAAGTGCATAGGTTCAGTAGGAGGGATAGAGTTGAAATCATCTACCTGTATGGTGGAGTTGGAGGATAATAAGGTGCCAAAGAGATTGGCTTTATCAGGGGGAGAGTTAGCTATAGAGTTATCAGGTCGGAAGAGAGGGAGTGCAGAAGTGGTTTGGAAGTTTTGATATATGTAGTATAGTAAAACTAATAAAAAAAAAGAGACATACTGTACTGTATTCAGAATTAAATTCAAAGTTACAGAGTCAGTTGGAACCAGAACTTTGGAAAAAAGAGAGGTTCCCTGCAGGAAACAAGGGTATCCGACTAATTACCCAAATGTACCCAAATGTACCCAAATATAGCCGGAATGAAGTCAAATAATGGTCCTAGATGAATAAATCGGATTGCCAATCACTTCTCGACTAGTATTTGGTGTCAGAAAGTCACAGAAAATTGGAAAACTTGCTTTAATCCGAGTTAATAGATAGCGTGCATGTACCTAACCTAACCTAACCTCGACTAGTATTTGGTGTCACGAAGTCACAAAAAATTGGTAAACTTAATTTAATCTGAGTTAATAGATCGAGTGCATGTACCTAACCTAACCTAACCTAACCTAACCTAACACAACTCAGATTAAATTAAGTTTACCAATTTTTTTTTACTTTATGACCCCAAATAATAATCGAGAAGTGATTCACAGCCCGAATTACGCTTGTACGACCATCATTTGACTTCATTGCGGCTACATTTGGCTACATTTGGGTAATTCCTCGCTCCTTCGGTACATGCACGCGATCTATTAACTCAGATTAAAGTAAGTTTTCCAATTTTTTGTGACTTTCTGACACCAAATACTAGTCGAGAAGTGATTAGCAGTCCAATTCATTCATGTAGGACCATTATTTGACTTCATTGCGGCTATATTTGGCTACATTTGGGTACAGTTGGGTAATTAGTCGGACCGGGAAACAAGTTCCTGTGCACCCTTAGTCAAAGATTACCCTGGGTAGTGGCCTGAAGGCTTTATGGATAAAAATCATGGGGCTCCATATCTTGACTCAGCGCTAAAATTCATTTTCTTGATTTTGACTCCTCTACTTTTGTTACACTGTTTTATTGTACAATATTTTATTCTTTATAAGAAAATGTGAGGTTTTATGGTGATGTAGTAGGTGAGGTGACAGTGGTGCAATGGTGCATAGCTATGAGAGAAGGGTTAGACTAAGGAAGGATGCTGGTGGCAATGTTGTTGATGGTGGAGAGGATGGGCAATGAGTTTTCATGCCCAATAGATTTTGCATAGTACCAGGGGGTCCCCAGGTTACTAGCGAGTTCATTCCTGAGGACGTTCTTAAGTCGGAACTGTACGTAAGTCGGAACGCATATCTTATGTGCACTATATCAATTAACAATCCAGTTTTTTTTTATCACAGTTGAATGCATTGGTGTAGATTCTTTTACATGTTGAAGAATTTTCTGTTTCTTAAAAAATTGTTCCAATCGCCTTTTTCAGAATGTTGAATTACATCAACTTTCACTTCCATTGTTTTCCTTTTCTTGGATGCACTACGATCACTTGCATCAGGTTTGTGTCTGGGAGCCATGATGAGGGCAAAAAATAATACAGATTGCATACTGACGCTCCCTCAAGGCGCGTGGCTGGGTGACGCATTACTTCCCACCCACCGCTCCGCCTTGCTGCTATGCCACACAAACTAGCTCTCGTACATTGACACTACAAAGCAATTGTTCTTATGTCAGATTCTTAAAATAATTGACCTTATGGGACCACGTTCGTATTGGCGGGGGTTCTTAAGTCGGTCGTTCATAAGTCAGGGACTCCGTGTAGTGAGTGTTAGTTTTAAAACATTGTTTTATATTACTTTATTTATTTTAACCCTTTAACAGTCGGTATGGAGGCCAGCATCAGTGGACGTTTCAAGTTCCTTGCATCCAAGCTTTTGCACATATGGAAGTGGATTATGGAATTCTAACCTGCCTTGTAATGGTTATTAACCCTCTCACCCTCGCACGACGCCATTGTGGCGTTGAACATAAAAGGCGAAAAAACTTACTCTCAGCCTCGCAACACCAACGTGGCATCCAATGAGCTATATTTTCAAATAACTCGGAAACTATTCAGTGAAACTGACAACTATGGCTGTCATTTTCTTTGTGTGGGCCTAATCACCTTCCTCACAAACATCTTGGTCATTGTGTGCGTGGCAGTGCAGCATGAAGCCAGTGTCGTTCTGGCCATTAGAGCTACAGGAGGGTGCGCTGCTCGGCCCTTTAATTATGCCATGAGTTTTGTGTTATATTATTTTTCCTTATACCACAATATTCTACAAGCTTTGTTCTTTATTTTGATATATACAGTAGTACATATCAGTGAACACCATAATACAAGGAAAATGTGAATGAAAATCGAGATGTTACTAAACATTTTCCTACTTTTTCAAATTACGTATAGTACTTAAAAAAAAAGTAGCTTAAATTTCAAGAATTTTAAATTTTTTATAGTTTCATACAAATTTTCAGGCAATTTGATGCTAGAAGAGACCCCATTACAATTAATAAAACAATTCCATGGCTATGAAATGAGCCCTAAAAAAAAAAATCAATGATTTTTCAGCAAAATCCTCCTCAGGCTCCGAGGCTGAGAGAGTTAAAGAATGTGTGAGGTATGGATGGCGATAGTAATGCAGATTCAAAAGCAAAATACTGTTGTATATTAATGGTGGTTTAAAAGTATGAAGTATACAGAGTAATAAGTTTTTGAGGTCTTCAGAAATTTAACCTCATAAACTTGCAATGTGTTAGTGTTTATAGAAATAAGTCACTTATATATGTTTTGCTTTTACTGTTGAGGGTTAGACACTTTAAACTGTGAAGGTTATTATTTTGTAATAACTTACATCTTTCAGCTTGTTGTTGCCACCACATGCTTGGGAATCAACCATGTCCTGTTTTCCAAACGAACCTTCGATTTTTGCATAATTGATGAAGCTTCACAGGTAAGCATGTAGTATCTTGTTCATTATAATTGATATCATTTATAAGCTGCAATACATTCATATTCTGCCATTTTCCAGGAAAGTTTTAGATTAAATGTACTGGGATAGAGAGATGTATAGCTAGGCCATTTCCCTTGTATACTGGCTTTGCAACAGTTACATGATGGCAGTTCTCCATGCTGCTGTTGCATGGTCTTTTGCAGTCTCTCTTGTCAGGCTCCTAACTCTGTCATTTCTTACAACCTCGCTCATGTCATTCTTGCCTATCCCTCGCTCTCCTTCCCTCCACATTTACCGTATATCACGGCCTATAAGACGGAATTTGAACCTTAAAAAAATCAGCCCAAAATTAGGAGTCGTTTTAAATACCAGGTATAAAATTCTTACCTCTTGCATATTGTGGTTTAGCGTGTCAAGAGTGGTGATGAAGAACATCATAAAACACTCACACGGTCCTACCGCTAATTATTTTATACTGAAACTTACGTTTGGGAAGCTGGAATAAAAATAAGATTACCGGTATATTAAAATAATAAAAATGTATTATAAACCTGTCTAACGTACTGCAAAATAACAACATACCCCGGTAATAAACACAGCTATCATCACGCGCCGCCCGCCATTTGCCAGTGACGAGACAAAAAATGGAAAGTGTTTTTTTTACATCCAGCGCTCACTGTCACCAATCACATTTAGTGGTGATTTTCCCGCTTGCCTTTGTGTCTGAGTTGGCCAAGAATGCATAATACATATTTCCCATAAATAATTCATTTAGACTTTATTTTATTTGAATTACTCTTCATAAGAAGTTCTCAGCGACACACCCACGTAGACTGTCGTCAGGCTTTACCTTGGGAGACCACTTAGGTTTTACAAATAATTATTGGAATAATAATTCCACAAATAAATATATTAATAACAATCATAGCATTATTATTTTTTTTTTTTTAACGGGGATTAGCCCACCTGGGCACAAGTCACTGACCCACATCGGGGTCTTGGCTGAAAATGTAATAATAATAATTCATAGTAAATAAAAATTTTAATAAAAAATTCAAAATTTAAAATAAAATAGTAATAATAAAGAACCATAAATAAATTCAAAAATGAAAAAAAAGATCAAAGTGAGAAACAATACAGGTAGTCCCCGCCTTACGACTGACCCAACTTACGTCAATCCTCACTTACGACCGTCGGGATATACGACCTCTGCAGTCGTGACCAAAATTTTTTTCAAATGACGCGCGCATTTTCTATACCGAAACGTTTCCGTCCTGAGCGAGAGCGTGGCGTGGTTTGGGTCACCGCATGGGTACACTCACTCAGTACAGCGCTTAGTTGGTGTTTGGCTATCGTATCCTATACTGATTGCGCTGTGAACTTACGTTATTATCGTATTTAATTGACTTTATAATGACTGGAAAGCGTACAAGGGAGAGTGCTGGTGGTGCTCCAAAGAAAAGGAGACAGGTAATTACTTTTGAGATGAAAATTAAGATAATAATGCAGTATGAGAATGGAAAAACTGTAGCAACAATCTCACGTGGCCTAGGTTTCTCGCACTCGACCATATCCACTATTCTGAAGGACAAGGAACGTATTCGTGATGTAGTGAAAGGAACAACACCTATAAAGGGAACTATAATTTCGTAGAAAAGACAAGGTCCTATTCACGATATGGAAAAATTATTAGCCTTCTAACCTTACAGGCTAAAGCAAGAAGCCTGTTCCAAAGCTTGAAGGAGCAGGCAGGAGATAAATGTGAGCAAACCTTTACAGGAAGTCATGGGTGGTTTAATAGATTTAAAAAAATGCTACAGTCTACACAATGTTAAGGTGAGTGGAGAAGCAGCTAGTGCTGCTGAAGCTTTTAAGGAGGAGTTAGATGATGTGATTGTGGAAGGGAATTATTTGCCTGAGCAAATATTCAATGTGGATGAGACTGGATTATTGTGGAAGCGCATGCCTGAGCGGACATACATCCACAAAGAGGCGAAAACAATGCCAGGATTCAAGGCATTCAAGGACAGATTTACACTTCTGTTGGGGGAGAATGTTGCTGGTTTCAAGCTGAAGCCCTTCATGATGTATCATTCAGAGAACCCCAGGGCTTTTAAACATGTTAGCAAGCACACACTGCCAGTGTTTTATTGCAGTAATAAGAAAGCCTGGATGACCTTAGCACTGTTTGAGGATTGGTTCATGACTTTTTCATTCCACGAGGCAAAGAGTATTGTCTGCAAAAACGGATTCCATTCAAGATTTTGCCAATTTTGGATAATGCTCCGGGACACCCACCACACCTGGACGACATGCACCCTGATGTTAAGGTAATGTACATTCCACCTAACACTACCTCTGTCATCCAACCCATGGATCAAGGTGCTATTGCTGCCTTTAAAGCGTATTATTTATGCACGACCTTCGCTCAGGCTGTTGCTGCTACTGAAGGTGAGAAAACGCTCAGAGTTTTGGAAGGAGTACAACGTTTTGTCATGTATAAAGAACATTAGTGCAGCATGGGATCAGGTTACAAAACATTGCCTGACTGGAATATGGAAGAAAATCTTGAAAAGTTGTGTGAACAGTTTTAGAGGATTTAATGAAAATGAAGTTATTTCGGATATTAGTAACAAGATAGTGGAGTTAGGTAAACAGCTTCAGTTAGAAGTTGATATTGAAGATGTTGAACAGTTGGTTGAAAGTGTAGCAGAAGAGCTCAGTAACGATGATCTTATTGAACTAGATGCACAGAAAATTGCAGAGGAAGAAGAGAGACAAAATGTATAAGAAGAACCTGCACCCCCCCAAAAAGTTTTCAGTAAAACAAATGGCAGAGGCATTTGCTACAATTAATAAAGGAATGCAAATGTTTGACGGCTTGGATCAAAATTATGAGAGTTATGCCAAAGTTGACAGAATAATCCAAGATGCACTTGCTTGCTTCAGAGAAATTTATAATGAAAAGAAAAACAAACTGTGCAGTCTAAATTGGACATCTTTTTAAGAAGTCCCCCAGTGCTGTCTCCTCACGCCCCACCAGTGCTGCCTCTTCACTCCCTCAAGATGTTACAATACCTTCAACCAGCAAGTTTCCACAGTCCATTGTAGTGATGGGTTGTCAGACCACAGCTTACATCTCAGAAACAGTCCAAACCTGACCTCACATTAGCCAGGTCAAGTGTAAGGGTACACCTTGCAGCTGCTCAAGGGTGTTACAAATCAACCATCTTCCCTCCACATGTCACACGGCCCCAACAAATATGTAAGAGACACAGTCAGAAGGAGCCACCTGCCGACCCTCCCCCAATTTACACAATAACCTACAGTACATCTCAGACAAGGTCCAGACCTGACCTCACATTAGTCAAGTGTAAGGGTAACCCTCGCAGCCCCTCAAGGGGGCCACAAATCAACCAGAGCCTCTCATGTCACACGGCCCCACCAACGATGTTAACAGGCAAGCATTCATCAGAAGATTTCTCCAATTTATACAACAACTTTAGTCTCAGAAAAAGTCCAGACCTGACCCTACATTAGCGAGGTCAATTGTAAGGAGACCCCCCCCCCCGATCAGCTCAACCTGACGGCTCGTCTCCCAATATATAGGACGTCCTAGTCCTCCCTCGAGAGAGGGTGTCTTGTCACCAAGAAGGGCCAGCAACAACGTCCCGAGTCCCGCTCGAGAGAAGTCAGACAGAGAGGGCCGGAGGCAGCCGCCTCCGGTCGGGAGCGGGTTGCCCTCAACACACCGGTGCCCAGCTAAGCAGTCTCCTTTAGAGACAACCCAGGACCACCTGCTAGTCCTTCCCCAGGCCACGTGAGTTTTTGTCAGAGCTTTCCATGGGATGAGTTACTTACGTGGGAAGTGTATTCATTTCATGTTCGTGTCCGAGAATCAGTGTCTAGTAACGTAATATGATGTCCTAGTAACACTAATATAATGTCCTAGTAACTTCGATAGAAGGTGTTATTAATGTGTCCATGTCATTGTTGTAATTAATAAACAGTTGTAACGAAGCGGTGTTTGAGAAGTCGCCCTTAAGAACGTAATAGATGTGTGTTGACGTATAAGATAAGATAAGTGTATTGACAGTTCAAATAACTAACACGGCCACGCTACCAAAACCTTCCTCTCTCTACATTCTCTTACTATCAATATTCTACCTATATGTAATCTTCTTCTTGTGAGTTTGTCTCATTATACCATAAACCTGTCTGAAGAAAGCGACATTGATGACCCGCCCAGCCCTGTCTCCTCCTCTGCTTCTTCCAGTTAATGTAGTCTCCATGTATAATTAGAAAATTATGGGGGCCCCCGTGTGCATTCAGCTGACTACATTAAAGGTAAGTGCTCAGTCACACTGTATCCATTCCTCATTATTTATTACTTTTACTGTACTGTATTTCATTGAACATTTTTTTTGGGGGAAAAAAAACATTTTTGAAATTATTTTTTTTTTTTTTTATCTATGTCGGACTTACGACCATTCCGACTTACGACCTGGATTCGGGTCCCTAACCCCGTTGTAAGTCAGGGAGCAACTGTATACTGTATGTATGTTGGTTTGTCAAAGTAAGAGAAACAATTGAAACTGCAATTGTGTGTAAATGAGGCAGAAAGTCAGATCAGCAACCTGGGACTTGGTCACAATTTTTGTGATGCCATATGGAAGCAGGGTCTACCATTAGACAATACATTATGCTTTGAATATCTTCCCAGGCGGTAGTATCTCCTGTTTAGTAGCTGCCTACTACCTACACAACTTTTAGTGATATTACTTTGATACAACATGATAAATTAGACAAACAGTGAAAATAAAAAATTAAATTTAATTACCAAGACGCTTCCCATTGGCTGCTGTAAGAGGGGGAGATAGGGCTAGTTTTAGCCCGTCTTTGTGTCCGAAGTGGCCAGTAATGCATACCGGTATATTTACTGATCATAATACTTATCTCCTATAAATAATTCATTTAAATTTTTTTTTTTTTTTTTTTTT